GCCGCCTTGCCGGCGCTCCCGGCATCCCGGTGCCCCGGCTGCGGAGCAGCGCGCGGCCGGAGGAGCCCTGCGAGGAGCGAGCGGAGCCGACGGGGCGGCCGGAGCGCCGGGAGCCCCGTGGGAGCAGTGCCTGCTCCTGTCTCGCCTGTCCCGTGCTCCCTGTGCGCTCTCACTCGTCCCTTCCTGTCCCCTCAGGGTGTGTGACAGCAGCGCAGGTCACCTCGGAGACCAGAGAAGTGCCTGAAAACCAGTGTAAGTGCGTGGGGGACGAGGGCCTCGGGGTCCGGGGCGGCCTCGTTGGCTGTGCGTGGGGAGCCGGGTCATGCCGTGGGTCCCCCGCGTYGCGGGAACGTCCCCCGCGCCGCGGGGCCGCTCAGCGCCCGCTCCCGCAGCCGCCGACATCCCCTGCTCGGCGTGCTGCTCCCAGCGCGGCACCCCGCGCATCGAGTGGAAGTTCCAGAAGGGCTCCTCGCTCGTGCTGCTCTACTACGACGGGCAGCTCACAGGTAGGGCCGCCCCGCTCAGGTAGGGGCTCAGGTAGGAGCCCCGGCCCCGCTCAGCGCGCCCCGCTCAGCGCGCCCCGCTCCGCAGAGCCCTACCGGGAGCGCGTGCAGTTCTCGCCCAGCGCCATCCGCTTCGGCGCGGTGACGCGCGCCGACACGGGCAAGTACATCTGCGAGGTGGTGGAGAGCAGCAGCCAGATCGCCAAGTCGGAGGTGAACCTCATCGTGCAAGGTAGGGCGCGCGCGCCCCGTGCTGCTGCCCTCCGCCGAACCCCGCAGGGTAGAGCCCCGCGCTCCCGCACCGCGGGGCGGCTGCGGCTGCCCCGGCCCCTGCACTGGGGCAGCCCCCCGGCGCCTCACGCGGCCGCCCCCCGGCAGTGCCGCCCTCCAAGCCGGTGGCCCACGTGCCCACGTCGGCCACCATCGGCAGCAAGGCGGTGCTGCGCTGCTCCGAGGCGGACGGCTCGCCGCCGCCCACCTTCCGCTGGTACAAGAACGGCATGTTGATGCCCGCCGACCCCAAGAGCAGCCCGACCTTCCGCAACTCCTCCTACACGCTGGACGCCGCCACGGGGGTGCTGGTGAGTGCGGCGGTCGGCGYCGCCAGCCCCGGCCTTCGTGCCCCRTCACCCGCCCGTCTTCTCCCCGTCTAGACCTTCGAGCCCGTGAGCAGCTTCGACACCGGCGACTACTACTGCGAAGCATCGAATAACGTGGGCTCCCCGCAGAAATCCGAGGCTATCCGCATGGAAGCCAGTAAGAAATGGAGGAGAGGGGCGTCCACGCGGCCCCTTCTAGGCTGACTCTGCCTYGCACATCTGGCAAAAATCACACTGGGATGTGCCAGTGTCTGCGTTAAAATATTACCCCAAACTAGTTTATCTTGCCAGCTCTCAGGCTTCCGAGATCAGTTAATTAGCTGTGYGGTTAACGAGCCTGCTGCAGAGCATCCTGGGCTGAAGCAAGCCCGGGAATGATGCTATGGAGCAGGAAAGGGGTAGGGGTGTCCTGGGGGGTGCTGGGACAACCTCATCCAGCCGGGCTTGGATGCGGCTTTGAGGAACTGGGCTGGAGCGGGGAGCCCCCGGTTGGTCCCCGCCGTGGTTCTTGTCCCGCTCCCGCGTCTCCGTGCGGATGGAGCGGAGCCCCGTGGCGCTGTCCCCGCAGGCGAGGTCAACGTGGGCGGCATCGTGGCCGCCGTCGTGGTGCTGCTCATGGTGCTGGCGCTCGCGGCCTTCGGCGTCTGGTTCGCCTACACGCGCGGCTTCTTCAGCAGTGAGTGCCGCCCCCCGYGCCGCGCTGCGCCGCGCCGTGCCGCGCTGCCGCCCTCACCGCCCTCTGCTCTCCCTCCCTTGCAGAGAGGAGAGAGTAAGTGACCCGCACCGCCGCCGCCCGCCCGCTCAGCCCTGCGCCTGGGAGCCGCTGCYGCCGGGAGCCGCTGCCCGGGTGGCCCCGGGCGCTTGGGGGTGGCCGGGGGCTCTGGGGGGCACCGGCGGCTCCTCATGTTCTCTCCTCCTCCAGCACCACCGGCAAGAAGGTCATTTACAGCCAGCCCTCGCACCGCAGTGAGGTGAGTGACGGGGACGGCCACCGCTGTCGCCGGTGTCCCGGGGCCGCTCGCTCTGCCCGACACAAGTGGGAAGGGGCAGATGCCCCCGGGATGCTCCCGCCTCCTGCCCCGTCCCTGTCACCACCCACGTCCCCGTTCCGCTCCGCAGGGAGAGTTCAAACAGACGTCGTCCTTCCTCGTGTGAAGACTGCGGCTCCTCCAGACGGAGGACTCTTGTAAATGTGCTGAATTACTGTAGCTAAGCCATGATTTTCAAGTTTTTTAAGTGTCACGCGGTGCCTTTTCGGAGCCCCTGGATTTTTCAGAGCAGGCTCCCTTCCTCCCCGGCACCCCCGTGTCTCAGTCCCTTTCCCAGCGGGACCCCTGTCCCGGCTGGGACGCAGAGGGGTCGGTGCTGCYCCTTGGTCCCCAGCAGCCCCCGTGGGGACCCTGTCCTTGCCCTGGGGGCTCCTCGGTCCCYGTTGTCCGAGATCCTCCTTGGAGGGGGTGGATCCGCCCTGGGGCGCTGCTGTCGCCCCGTGTCCCGCGCTGGGCGCRCTCAGGGCAGCAGCGGTGGCACCGGACACTCTCCTCTCTCCACGTACTCATAACCACTTGTGTGATGCCCCTGGTTGCTGGCAATAAACAGACCTGTGTCCCTGTGCCGTGTGCCCGTCCCCTTTCCTGGTGGGGTCCGGGGTGGGAATGCTGATCCTGGCRCCAGTGACACATGGGGACAGCCCCCCTGCATCCCCATGGCCGGAGCCCCCCCTCAGTCCCCTCCTTCCGTCACCCCCGTTCCCGCGCAGCAGAACCAGCCAACGAATAAAACCTTTATTTAGTAATTCTCTTTTTTCCCCCTCAACCCAGGAAAAAAAACACATTGTCCCTGGCAGTCCCAGGGCCTTTAGTGAGCAAGTCTTTCCAGTGGGTAAAACATTTCTTCTCAATTTATATATATATATATAATATGTGTATATATATATTAGTGGAACTATATATATATATATATGTATGTATATGTAACCTGGCCTCAGTGCAGCGAGGGTTAGGAGGCCCTACAGCCCCGGCCCCGGGGCGGGACGCGTTAATAGGCAGAGGCTCTACGTTAGCAGCAGCGGGTGGTCCCGGGGCCGCGTCCCCCCTTCGGTGGCCGTCCCCAAGCAGGGACGGGGGCGCAGCCCCCAGGGCCGTGGCCACGTCCCCATTTCGGTGGCCGTCCCCAAGGTGGCAGCAGGCCCTGGCTCCGGGACGGTCCCCGCTTCGGTTTGGGGTGGGGGATGTGTCCCTGGCCACATCCTGCCCCCCAGGGAGGTGACCGAGCCGCGGGCGCTGGCACCGGGTCCCCAGGCAGCGGCGGCTCCTCTGCCTGGCCCTGGGTGCCACGAGTGGGTCGGGTCTCGGCACCTCCCGGCCGGATGCTCCAAGTCAGCAGAGCCCGGCGGGCCGGCACGCGTGGCCGTGGGTGTCCCCAGGGGCTGGGAGCGCTGCCGCGCCGCCAGGGCAGCACCCCGGGGCCCCGTCCCGCGGGCGGCGCGGCGCGGGGCGGCCGGGCGCTCACACGTTGCTGATGCGCACGCTGAGCGGGGCGCCCTCCCGCTCGCCCGCCTCGCGCAGYGTCTCCTCCAGCTTGGCCTTGTCGGCGTCGCCGAAGCGCACGGCGTCGTGGGCGCCGCGCGGCGCCGCCACCTTCACCACCTGGTCGAAGAGGCTGAAGTCGGCCACGTACTTGCCGCTGGCCGAGAGCGAGATGGCCGGCGTGAACTCGTAGCCCCACAGGATCTCCTCGGGCAGGTAGGACGTGCGCACCTGGCACGTGGCGCTCGTGGACTCCACGGTGCCGCTGAGGATGACGACGAGCTCGAAGTCGCCCTCGCCCGTGCGCAGCGCCAGCTCCCGCAGGGGACTGGCCTCGTCCACCACGTGGTAGAAGGTGAGCGGCAGGATGAGGAAGGGGCTGTCGGAGGACGTGTCCACCTGGAAGTCCACGTTGACCTGGTTGAGGCGCACGCTCTCGCCCTCCTTGGTGAGGTGGGTCTGCAGGAGCTTGCCGCTCACCTGGCAGCCGATGAGGAGGCTCTTGCGCATGTTGGCCACGCGGATCATGAGGCAGGTCTTGCCGTTGTGCTGGGCCACCACGGCGTTCTGRCTGAACTTGATGGTCTCCGCGCGCTTCTTGGGCCGCGCGATCTTGGCCAGGAAGGTGCCCGTGATGAAGATCTCCAGGATGGTGGTGAGGACGAGCTGCGTGATGAGGAGCACGATGGCGAGCGGGCACTCCTCGCTGATGTAGCGGAAGCCGTAGCCRATGGTGGTCTGGGACTCGAGGGAGAAGAGGAAGGCGCCGGTGAGCGTGTGCACCTGCATGACGCACGGCGTGTGGTTGGCGGGCGGCGCGAACTCCAGCAGGTCCCCGTGCATCACGGCCACCAGGTACCAGACGACGCCGAAGGCGAACCAGGTGCCRGCGAAGGTGGCCGAGAAGAGCACCAGCTTGTAGCGCCACTGCATGTCGATGAAGGTGGTCCACAGGTCCTTGAGGTAGAGGAAGCGCTTGTCGGCGATGTGCTCCATGCGCACGTTGCTGCGGCCGTCCTTGGTCATGACGCGGCGGCGCCGCAGCCCCGCGCCGATCAGCGGGCGGCTGTCGGTCTGCGTCGTCTGGCTGTAGTACACCTTGGTGGCCGACGTCATCTGCAAGGGGTGGCAGCGGCGGCGCTGAGGACGGGGCGCCCGGGCGCCTCGGGGACAGGGCAGCGTCGGCCCGCCGAGCCGGCCCCGCGTCCGTACACCTCCATAGCCATACATGTGTGCATCCGTACACCTATA